TCCCTCCTGTCGGCATGTGTGGCCAGCACTGTTGACTGGCTAACCCTACCCCTCCTCCTCTGTTCATCTCAACTTTTGTTTTGAGTTAAATTAGGTCCTCCCAAACAAGGATATTCTGAAGCCCCCCATTACCTCAGAATGTGACGTTCTTTGGAAATTGGGTCTTTACAGTGGTGATAAAGTTAAAATGAGGTCCTTACGGTGGACTCTAGTTCAATATGACTGGGGTCCTTATAAAAGGATAAATCTAGACACAAAGACAAACATGCATAGAGGAAGGCAATGTGAAGACGCAGGAGGAACACTATCCCCGTAACAAAGAATGCCCGAGGCCAGCAGAAGCTGGGAGTGAGGCGTGGACGGAGTCCCCCTCACAGTGCTCAGAAGTAGACAACCCTGCCAGTGCCTTGATCCCAGACTTCTCATCTCCAGAACTGTGAGGCTAGAACTTTCTGTTTTTAAGCCACACAGTTGCAGTATTTTGTCATGGCAGCCCCAGGAAACTCCTGTAACTGGAGAGGCTGGAAAAGCTGGAAATTCTGTCTGTTCACTCTCTCAGATGCCCTTGTAGCCAGGAGCGACCATGTAACGTAACTACGGACAATGAAATGTCCCAAATGGAAGTGTGCTGGTGCTTCCAGGGAGATGCTCACTTTAGTAGGTGGCAGGAATAAGAATAGGGCAGGAGGCCGGGCACAGTGGTTCACACCTACAATCCCAGCACTTCAGGAGGCCAAGGTGGGAGAATCAACTGAGGTCAGGAGTTTGAGACCAGCCTGACCAACATGGAAAAAAACCCTGTCTATTAAAAATACAAAATTACCCAGGCCTGGTGACACAAATAATGACCAAATGAGTTTGAATCAAAGGCAAGAAGGTCCCTTTGCTACTTGGGAGACTGAGGCAGGAGAATCACTTGAACCCGGGAGGCGGAGGTTGCGGTGAGCCAAGATCACACCATTGCACCCCAGCCTGGGCAACAAGAGTGAAACTCCATTGCAAACAAAACAAAACAAAACAAACAAAAAAAAAACAGAGCAGGAGAATGATAACATCTCAGGTCCTTTATAGCCCAGTCCAGATAGAGGCTTGTGAACTTGTATTCATTTGTCTTTAATTTGGGAAAAGATGTAGAAATTGTCATGGTTGACTTCTATACCTAATCAAGTATCATTCAGATGAATAGGCAGTTAGGAAACGAGAGAGAGAGAGAGAAAGAGAGAGAGAGAGAGGAAGAAAAAGAACGGAGAGAGGGAGGGAGGGAGGAAGGAAGGGAGGGAGGAAGGAAGGAAGGAAGGAAGGGAGGGAGGGAGGGAGGGAAGGTAAAGAAAGAAAGAAAAGAAAAAGAAAAGAAAGAAAGAGAAAGAAAACAAAATTGCCTCAAAATTCTAAAGTAAAATCTGAAAATGTTGTAACTTTCTGTCATTGTGCAAGAAGTCATTATTTCATAAACATCTGCTATGGTGTCCTGAAATTCCAAGGCTAAGTAACAACTAAATACTCATTTAGAATTTGTGGGAATCTGGCAGTAGAACATTCCTCTAAGACAGCGGTTTTCAACTGGGGGCAACTTTGACCCCCAGGGGACATTTGCCAGTGTCTAGAGATATCTGTGGTCATCACAAACTGGGAAGGGGAGTGCTACAAGCGGGTAGAGGCCAGGGACACCGCTCCAAATCCCGCAATGCACAGGACACGCCCCCACAGCAGAAGATTATCCTGTCCAACATGCCAATAGTTCTGAGGCTGAAAAACCTCGTTCTAAGACAGAGTAAAGCTTCTAAAAAGAAGATGAAACCTTGCCAGAGGCAGAAATTGCAAGGAACAAGTGGAAATGACGTGCTGTCAAAGTGTGGGTGGTGGCCTGAATTCTACGGAGAATTGCAAACACAGGAGAGGAAAAATGGATGGCACAGGGGTAAACAAGACAAGCAATGCTGGGGAAGGGAGCCAGCCTGAAGTGGAGAATGTGCCAAGCCAAGCCTGAACCCACCGCAGGGCCTTCACATCGGTATTACTCAGCCACTGACTGTGTGCGTAGCCATGGCAGCTGGCAGGGACACGCAGCCTCCTCAACAAACAGATTCATCAATTTGTAAAGCTCCCATTCTTTAGAAACATTTCTAAGACAATATACGAAATCCATTTTCTCCTGATTTTACTTGAAGATGAGTCACACAAGACACAGGCTATATGCTTGATTTCAGGCTTTTAAATAGGGAGAGCAGCTATTGAAAAAAATTACAGGGTAGGAAAGGCAGACAAAGGCACTAAAAAGACTGAATCATTTAATTTTTATGGGGAGTGGGAGAAAGCATACTCAGCTTAACCAATTTACATCATTTGGCTTTAGAAAATAAACATATACATCATCCCAGTAATTGGGTGCCTTGCTTCACATGCAGGAATTAAAATAGTTTTAGAAAAATGCTTGAAAATATAGAAGGAGAAAGCAATAAAATGAATAAAATGAAATGGCAAAAACAAAACAAAAAATAATTAGCTATTGAAGTACAGATGTTCCTCGGCTAATGGTGAGGTTGTATCCCAATAAATACATCGTAAGTTGAAAGTTTCTTAAGTCAGAAATGCATTTAATATACCTAACCTACCCAACATCACAGCTTCACCTACCCTACCTTAAAAGTGCTCAGAACACTTGTTAGCCTATATTGCGGCAAAATCATCTAATGCAAAGCCTATTCTATAATAAAGTATTGAAAAATCTCATGTAATTGGTTGAATACTTTACAGAAAGTGAAAAACAGGATGGTTGCGTGGGTACTCAAAGTATAGTTTCCACTGGATGTGTATCACTTTCACATCACTGACAAGTTGAAAAAAAAAAAACTTAATTCAATTCTCAGGAGCTGGAAATCATCTGTATATCTATTAGCATTTAAGGTAAATGACTTAATGAAGTTTATTTCCAAACCTATAAATAATTTTCTTTCTCAATCAACTACCTCTATGTAAACTGAGTGACAACAAAAACTAAGTCACTTGCAGAGACCTCTACGCATTAGAACGGAGGACAGCCAATGAGCACTCGGCATTTTATCTCCACAAAGAGATAGAAAGTGCGCTTGGCTGAAGGCGCCCCTAGGGTTGCTCCTAGAGCACGTGTGAATTTCGGAGAGTTTTTAAAGGGAATTTACTGACGCTAAAGGAAATTGACAAATGCAACCCTGAACTTTGAGCTAGTGATTGTTCTGAGTATTTCAGTAACACTAAAAGAAGGCAAAACGCATGTTCTCCTTTCAAGTGAGCATGACATCAACAGAAGAAATAGTTCATAATGTAATTATACATGGACTTTGGAGATCATTTACTTTACAGCCTCATTAACTAGGACTTCTACAATTTGGGTTTGATGATAACTTAACCAAAGTCTGGGTTGAAATGGACTCTGTTAGGTAAAGATTTATAGAAAAAGAGAATTCTTGATAGTATAAACAAGATAACAGAGTTAAGCAAACATCAATCATATATGTGAATAAAGCCATTTCTTAGATAGGTCCCCAAAAAGGCTGTTCTGAGCACCAACACATTTTGAAAAAGAGGAGAAGAGGCGGAAGAAGGAGAGGCAACAGCAGCAATAGTTAATATTTACTGTTGTGACTTGCCAGACAATGAGTTAAGATCTTTATAACAATTTTTTTCATTCAGTACATACACTAAACAATAATCTGATCAGGCAGATACTGTCACAGGTCTGGGAACCTTTATCTGCATTTCCAAAATCCAGGATATTTCATAACTCATTTACTGACAAAGCTTGGTCTGACCTGATCCAGCTGGGCAGCAAATCCTGACCCAAAATGATAAGAGGCTATTTATGGTCCTCATTTATCCCACTTAGAGTTGCTCACAGGCTTTCCTTGAGACCTGTGAATGTGATTGACAGGAGGGAACTTCCAGATAGCACAGTAGAAGGCTGTGGAAGGCTGCACTCTGCATTACCTTTCTAAGCTCTGAAAAATTCTGAATTTAAAAACACGCTGGGCCCCAAGACTTTCAGATAAGGGGTCATGGACCTTGTGCTAGCCCCTTTCTGCAGGTGAGGAAACAAAATCTCAGAGACCATAAGCTCAAGAACCTGCCAGCACTCACACAGCCTGTGAGTGAATATACAGCAGAGATGGGATTCAGTGCCAGGCAGGTCCAACTCCAGAACCTGCATCCTAGTTTGATGTTGCTTGAGGGACTCCCATGCCTTTCTAAGTACTATTGAAACAGAAAGTAATACAACCACATTTAAATGGTACTTTTTTTTTTAGAGACAAGGTTTGCTTTGTTGCCCAGCCTGGAGTGCAGAGGCAAAATCATAGCTCACTGCAGCTTTGAACTCATGGGCTCAGGAAATTCTCCCACTTCAGCCTTCCAAGTAGTTAGGACTTCATTTTTATTTTTAGTAGAGAAAGGGACTGTGCTATGTTGCTCAGGCTGGTCTCGAGTTCCTGGCCTCAAGTGTCTATCTTGGCCTTCAAATGGACTGGGGTTACAGGCCTAGACCACCCCTGGCCCTAAATGATGCTCTTAGCTAATTGAGATAAGTCACTGATATGGTTTGGCTGTGTCCCCACCCAAATCTCATCTTGAATTGTAGCTCTCATAATCCCCACATGTCATGGGAGGGACCTGGTGGGAGGTAATGGAATTATGGGGGTCAGTTTTTCTCATGCTATTCTTGTGATAGAGAATAACTCTTGGGAGATCTGATGTTTTTACAAATGGCAGTTCCCCTGCACACCCCCTCTCTTGCCTGCCACCATGTATGATGTGCCTTTGCTCCTCCTTTGCCTTCTGCCATGATCATGAGGCCTCCGCATCCATGTGGATCTGTGAATCCAATAAACCTCTTTTTCTCTATAAATTACCCAATCTCAGGTATTTCTTATAGCAGTATGAGAATAGACTAATACAGTCACTTACTGAGCATGCTAAGTGAATGAGCTTACTGTTCTTAAGATGTCTGTAAACAGCCATGACCCACTCACCCTGTCCCTGCTTTCTTCCTGGCTGCCCATTTCTCGAATCTTCTCCAAAATGGTATCCTCCGTGGACCCAGTTGTGCTCAATCTGCCCCTAAGGAGGGCTGCGATTCTCTCCCTAAATGAGGAGTTCTGGCTTTGTGAGGCTGTGACCGCATCCAGACTGGCCTTCAAATTCTTCTCCAACTCAGAAGAGCTTTTCTTCAGGAGGCTCAGCTCCTCCTTTGAGGCATCCCAGACCCGCTGGCCAGCAAGTAGCCTTTCTTGGAAGAGCTTAACTTCCCTCTCAAGGGCTTCTTTTGCTTCTACAGCACTGACCAGGTCCTAAAATGATTGTAGAAAATGAAGACAATAACATCAGTAGTCTACCGGGTACACCTGCATTTGCTATAACATATTCATTGACTTTGCCTGCTAATGACTACAAGGAGTTGGGTTCATCACTCATTCCATTTTTAACTTCAAATTCCCTATAGTCTCCTCATAAAGTTCTTAAATACCAATGGTATGTCAGGAAAATTTAAGTGTCTTTAAAACAGAGAAGGGGGCCAGGCGCCGCAGCTCACGCCTGTAATCCTAGCATTTTGGGAGGCCAAGGCGAGTGGATCACCTGAGGTCAGGAGTTCGAGAACAGCCTGGCCAACATGGTGAAACCCCATCTCTACTAACAAAAAAATTCAAAAATCAGCGGGGCGTGGTGGCACTCGCCTGTAGTCCCAGCTACTCGGGAGCCTGAAACAGGAGAATCACTTGAACCCGGGAGGTGACAGTTGCACTTAGCTGAGATCATGCCACTGCACTCCAGCCTGGGCAACAAAGTGAGACTCCATCTAAAACACACACACACACACACACACACACACACACACACACACACACACAGAAGGGATATAAAATCTGGGTTAGAAAAAAGAAGGAAACTTTGACACATAAGCCTTTTCTGTGTGGAACTCTGGAAAGAGTTAATAAAAACAAATCACTGGATAACATATTAGTAGATTCAGTCCATATGTAGACTATGTTTACAGAACTATCTTTTTCAAGCATGGTGTATACAGAAATTGATTTTTAATGAACAGTAAGCTCTCAGAGTCCTAGCTAGGTACTAACAATTATTTAAATAAAGATGCCCCCTTAATACTAGTTTAAATAACAAAGGAATATTCTCATAAAAACATCATTGCATAAAGATATTCATTGACTTCCAACATCCAACATTCATTACATATCCCCTTGTCTCATAAAGACAAAACTAATGCAGTAAGAACCTGAAGAAAGGAAACAACTCGCCATTTGGTAGGTGGGAGGATTAAAAGTAGAGGGAAAGTATCATACTTTGAAGAATATTAAATCTTAAAGAATATAATGTGGGCTGGGCACAGTGGCTCACACCTATAATCCCAGCTCTTTGGGAGGTCGAGGCAAAGGATTGCTTGAGCCCGGGGGTTGGAGACGAGACTGGGCAACGTGGTGAAACCCCCATCTTCCATAAAATAATTAGTCATGCATGGTAGCACGTGCCTATAGTCCCAGCTACCCGGGAGACTGAGGTAGGAGGATTGCTTGAGCCCAGGAATTCTAGGCTACAGTAAGCAGTATTTGTATTAATGCACTCCAACCTTGGTGACACAGCATGACCTTGTCTCAAGACAAGAACAAAAGAACATAACATGTGAGATTAGGTTCAGAAAAATAATGAAGGACATAAAGAAGGTTACCCGTGCACTGAATTCTATTTACCACAATCTAGAATGGTCCACAGAGGCACCAAAGAAACATCTTTAAAACTGATTTTTAAAAATTATTTGTTAACTTCAAGTTCCAAAATACATGGATTCACATTAAGAAAGATTACGCAGCATGTTAACCAGCATTGCTATAGTATTGCTGCCTAGTTAACAGGTTAAAAAAAAAAAAAAAAGTTATTAAACATAGTATGTTAGAGGTAAAAAGCACTAAAAAGAAACACAGTATCTTTAAATAACAGACTCTATATCCAAATGAGCTGGTAACATTTCAGGCTGCCAGTTAAAATGCAATCATCTCTTTTGCATTAGAACTGGGCTTTAAAAGATATTCCTCTTCATTAACAGCTTGGAAACAGGAAAAAGGATAGCCTGAAACACTAGTTTCTATTTTTTATAGAAAACATAACATCTTTTTTTTTAAAATAATCATTATGGTGACTTTTTTTAAATCAAGGAAGTCTCAGGCATCAATTTGAAAGAAAAGTCACGGAGTAGTTAGGTAGTTGGAGAAGCCTGCCCTTTTCAGAAGTGTAATAACTCAACTAATGATGGAATCTATTTTGTAAAATGCCTTTTGCTTTTCCAAGTCTTGGTTTCCCCTTTCCTTTGCTAAACAGGTCGTCACCGTAGAAGAGCCCCGCTGCTGCTGCTAATCAAACAATGGTCCTTAAAGCAGAGTCGAGGACACTTTATCACAAATTCAATATTTTAACAGTTTACAGATTGCTCTTCAGATCGTAATACAATAGCTTCTCACTTGCTCAATTAGAGTAATTTTATAGTATCAGTACTAGTGATAATAAATTGGGTGCATATTTTACTTGGAAACTACAGTCATTCCTTGGTATCCTTGGGGAATTGGTTCCAGGACCCCGGAGGATATCAAAGCCTGAGGATGCTCAAGTCTCTCTCCCATATAAAGTGGAATAATATTTTCATATAAGCTACACACATTCTTCTGTATACTTTAAATCATCGCTGGATTACTTTCAATACCAAATACAGCTTAAGTGCTAGGTAAATAACTGTTAACGCCGGGCGCGGTGGCTCGAGCCTGTAATCCCAGCACTTTGGGAGGCCGAGGCGGGTGGATCACGAGGTCGAGAGATCGAGACCATCCTGGTCAACATGGTGAAACCCCGTCTCTACTAAAAATACAAAAAAATTAGCTGGGCATGGTGGCGCGTGCCTGTAATCCCAGCTACTCAGGAGGCTGAGGCAGGAGAATTGCTTGAACCCAGGAGGCGGAGGTTGCGGTGAGCCGAGATCGCGCCATTGCACTCCAGCCTGGGTAACAAGAGCGAAACTCCGTCTCAAAAAAAAATAATAATAATAACTGTTATCATGTGTTGTTTTTCTTTGTCTTATTTTTATTTTTTAATTTGTATTGGATTTTTTCCAAATATTTTTGACCCAAAGTTGGTTGAATCCACAGATGTGGAACTTGTGGATGCAGAGGGATTACTGCACAGTCTGATGTGTGGTTAGAGAATTGAGGTCCTAAATTCAATAATGCCAGGATGAAAATTAATCCTAATCCCTTTAGAATTCTAAAAGTATATATATATTCACTTTTATATTGATAGGCAACCCCTGATGCAAAAGGGGGAAGTTTCCACAGTCATTAAAGTGATACTTTTAACCAATTATTGACTAAACACCTCAAAATACACAAAAATTATCTCAGATGCTTCTGACCTATGGTGTTACTACTGTTGATTTGGAGTAGACAAATTAACTGGCAGCTAACACCAGCATAATTAAAATATTTCAGCTATGAGGAATTTTTCTACCCCAGTATCATAACATTATTTCACTGACTTCGAGAAAAGGGCCAAAACAATCCTCTCTAACAAATCCAAAGTATGTTTTCTTTTTAAACCTTGGCATCAACAGTTATGTCTAGTGAAAATCACGAAATTAGTTTGTGTTTATAGAATACAGTGGTGTCTATGAGCAGGTTGGGTTTCTCTTTCCTAGACACATTCAGGAAAAACTAAGCTGTTTCTTGTATAAAATGCAGGACTCAAGAGCCAGAGTGCCAAGGCCTTGAGGATGGCCACTCCCTTAGTGCCCTGATTAAGTGCTGCAGGATTCGGGGGGCACAGGGCTGATCTTCTGGAAATAGATGTTCTCAGACTGCAAATGCAATTACCTGTGCAGCTATCAGGAGAAAGCCACCAGAGTGGAGTCTGGTTGCATGGCTACCTCGAGGATACACCGAAGCACCGAAGCAAGTGGCATAAAATCATGTGACGTCAGTACCACTGGCCAGGACCTGGGAATTGCCGTCAGACCACACTGACATACAGATCAAGAAACAAGTAGCTTCCTGCCAGCAAAAGCAAGACTGATCTCCACAGAGGGAATCACAGAGGGCAGGGCCTATAGACTGTGAGGGAGATCACTTCAAAAATTTTTTTGTAATTAACAAATCTTTAGGTTCAGTCTGACTGATGCCACAAATGTAAAATCCCTTCAAAATTACTTTTAACAAAAACTTTTATAAATAATATGATTATGGTATTCAGTTTAACTTCCCGTTTAACTGTGTAAGTCTGCATCAAGTAGTGAAATCATCCAAAGGGTTGTGTTTTAAGAACAGAATTAATTCCTGTTCTGTTGCTATTTTATGGATTTCATACACATGAGATCAAATTGCCACTCAAAAATACAATGACTGATTATCATCAGGACAGAGAACCTCTGGCTTGAGCTTAATTCCTTCAATTCTAGATCAATTTTATAAAATAAAAAGTCAATTGGTTAATTCTACCTATTGCAGTTATGACTAGCAAAAAAAACTCAGAAATTCTCCCAAACACGCAGTGTCACACATGGCTGGTTGAAGTGTGAACAGGTATAATTTTGGTATAAATACATAACAAAACATAATATGCACATATCTTTTGGCCCTGCAATTTCAGTCCTGAGAATATATCCATAAGATAGGTTACTAAATACAGAAAATGAGGAATATGCAGTTATTCAATTATAATATAGCAAAAGGCAAGGTACTACATGAATATTCATTGATACATAACTACTTAAACAAATATGAGACATCCATACGATCAAGTACGATGTAGTCCTGACAAGGAGTTCAACCATTGTGGATGACAGTGTGGGGATTCCCGAAGAACTTAGAAATAGAAATTCCATTTGACCCAGCAATCCCATTACTGGGTGTATATCCAAAGGATTATAAATCATTCTATTATAAAGACACATGCAGTCTATGTTCATTGCAGCACAGTTTACAATAACAAAGACCTGGAACCAACCCAAATGCCCATCAATGATAGACTGGACAGGGAAAATGTGGCACATATATACACCATGGAATACTATGCAGCCATAAAAAACAATGAATTTGTGTCCTTTGTAGGGACATGGATGAATCTGGAAACCATCTTGAATCTGACACAAGAACAGAAAATCAAACACCACATGTTCTCACTCATAGGTGGGTGTTGAACAATGAGAACACATGGACACGGGGAGGGAAGCATCACACACTGGGGTCTGTTGCGGGGGACTAGGGGAAGAACAGCAGGGGGTGGGGAGGTTGGGGAG